GGAGGAACTTTGAACTTGTGAATCATTCCGTAACGATTAAGGAGATCGTATCCAATGTATTTAACAGGTTGACCATCAGCAGCTTCATCCAATGCAAATACGTCAAACGACCAATCGTCCAAAGTCTAAACCAATTTATTTATTTATTTTTTTTTTTATATAATTAAAAGGGAAAAAAAACAAATTAGATTGTCATCGTTGTTCGCCATGATTGCCAGATAAGAACATAATAATTAGTTTTTACGGGGGAAAAAGGAAAAACGTTTGATTTACCTTTAAAACTTTAACAACTTCTGGTGGAAAATGCATCATGCTTGAAGATGTGACTCTTCTATAAATCCTATCAACGAATATGCCAGCTCTTATGGCATGTGCCACGGAACGAAATTTTGGTTTTTCATCAGCTTTTCTTCTCGTTGTAGCCAATTGTCTTGTAAACGTTGACGTGAGCCATTCACGAACTTCTGGAGGGACGGCATCAGGTTGTACCTCGGATAATTCGTCATCTTCATCAGCAAGACGCCTGTAACGTCCCACGATCAACCGTTAAATTATGGCCATTAAGTTATACAATTTTACAATCAAAACAGATATTTCATTTTACAAAATAATAATAATAATAATAATAATAATAATAATAATAATAATAATAATAATAATAAATAAATATGTAAATATTCGTATAGCGTTTCATTACATGATTTTATCTAGTTTTTTTTTTTTTTTCACTCCAATTACATCACGTAATAAACTCTTATTGAAATTATATAATTCTTTAAAAGAAAAGGTTTTAATTTAGTCACTTGGTAAATGACAAACGAAATTATTAATAAATAAATAAATACTTACGATCAACGTATTTGACATGTTAAAGTCCACGAAACGAGAGTGAGAGAGAGAGAGAGAGAAAAAAGCGAATACTTACAACGATAAAAATATTTTAACGTTTTTCAAGTAATACCAACCCCGGAAAAAAAAAAAAAAATTTGAATTCTCTACCACACCTCTCATTGTCAAAAAATTTAATTAAAATTTAAACAACTTTTAATTAAGTAATTTAAATTTGTTTTTGATTTTTTTCTTTTTATTAATTTTATATTAAAGTTAATTTTTTGTTTTTACTTTTTTAAAAAGTAAAACAAACAAGATAAAAAGTCTTCTATTGGGTCAAATTAAAATTCGTTTAAATAAATAAATACATACATAATAATAATGATATTTTACTGTTATTTATTTATTTCTATTTATTTTCGTATCATTTTGTATTTATTTAAGTTTAATGTATAAAAAACGAAAAATAACGGTTAATGATGAAAAAAATGTCGTTATAAAATTTTTTTTTTTGCCCACCTGTAAAAGCAGAAGACATTTTTCTGAGCAGCAAAATGTCGTTAAGTGGAAATACGGTAAATATAAAAATTTATTAACGGTTATAAAAATTATTATTTCGACCTTTTTTTTTTTAAAAAATGGAGAAGGTATTAAAAAAAAAAATTAATGTAATAATGATGATAAAATTATATGTAGGTGAGTCTTTTTTGTCTATATATAGTAATAAACCGACATGAAACGTTTTTTTTTTTTTTTTTTGTCAATGCGTCACATTACAAAGATATTAAATTACTCTTTTGACTTTTTCTTTTCTTTTTCTGTTTTTTTAAGATTTTTTTTTTTTAAATGCGTAACGCGTTTATTATTTTTCACATACGCAGAAATTCTTGACGGTTAAATAAAAATTTATAAATACTTACTTACAACGCTAGTCGCGATTTAAAATTTCTTTTGTACCCTTTCCTTTTTCTTCTTTATGTTAAAATCGCCATTTTGAAAAATTTGTATGTCAAGCAAAAAAAATTCTCATTTTGATATGAAGCAATGAAAGCTTTTATCTCTAAGAAAGCTCTTTTGGAATAAGGTAACATGCTTAACATAACATAAAAGCTTTTTTGTTTTTTACTGTTGTGTGTCTGTGTGTTTGTACAAGTTAGTCGTATTAGTTTTATTCAGGGAAAATAAGGGGGGGGGTATGGAAAAATGGCCGTGTGGTAGTATTATAATAATGTACGTGTCGGATATAATATACTTTATACCCTAACATTATTGAAATTAAGATTGACCTGGCCCATATTGGGGTCCGAAGGCGTCGACGATGGTGAACCAGGACGCCTCGGGGCCCAGCGGTTGTAGTCCTTCGATCTCCGTTGCTACGATTATGATGATCATCGCTTCTCTCCCTGAGGGATAACGATATCAACCCATTTCCCATTTCTCTCCTTACTATTCGAGATGGCAATCGAGCATTTATATCATGGATTCCGCTCAATTTGCCAACTCGAACAATGCAGGGAAAATTAAAAAAAGCAACAGCATTTGAACAATAAATCGAAATTCGATTAGTTTGGTGAAAAAAAGATTTTATACAAAAAAAAAGAAAAATTTTAAAAAAAAGGAAAACCCCCGTAAAAAAAATAAAAACTTTTTTTCAAATGAAACAAACCACTTCTTGAAATTTTCAATAATCCTTTTTTTTTTTTTTTTTGGTTTTTATATTATTTAAAAATTATCAAAGAAACAATTTTTACTTTTTTATATAAAATAAAACTTTTTAATGTCGGTTATATCCCCCACCCCACCCCGATCCCAACCCTTCAACCCCCCAAGCCTCGTCCTTTAACAAAAAAAAAAAAAATTTTCTTCTTCTTAATCAGATTTAACTTGAAAATTTAAAAAAAATTATTTTATTAAGACGAAGCCAAAAATAATGATAATAATAATAATAATAATAAATGACGTCACATTTTACAAAAAAAAAAAAAAATTTATTAAAAATTTATTAATCGTTAAGAGAGATTAAAAATCTTTTTTAATAATAATAATAATATTTGTTTCAAACGTGAAAAATTTTCAAAATTTTCCTACTTCAAAACTATCGATCGAAACCTTAATAATAATAATAATAATATAAATAACCGTTTGATTATTTTTTTTTTCTTTTCTATTTTTCTATAAACATCTTCTCATATTAAAATATTCTTTCACCTAAAGGTAATCTCGTAAATTTTCAAAAATTAATTATTAACTTTTACAAGTGTAGAGAGTAATAAATTTCAATATGGCCGACAGGTTAATGTAATATTTAAAAAAAAAAACAAAAAACGGAAGAAATATTTTTATTTTGACTTCTTCCTTCGGGGGGTTTATCAAAGATTTCTGATTAAAAAAATTTTTTTAAATAATGTGACGTTCGCGATTCGAATTGTTTCTTTGTTTAACTTATAACTTTAATAATAATAATAATAATATCGTCATCGTTCATTAAAAATCGCGCTAAAAAAGAAGTGAAAAAAAAAAGTTTTTAACGGGGATCTTTCCGTGTTGTAAACCCCCCACCCACCACCGGTCGTAACGACAACAACCAACAACAACAACGCCAAAAAACAAATTAATGTTTTAGAAATTTACAGGAACAAAAAAAAAAAAAAAAAAAATAAATTTTTTATAATTCCTTTCATTAAATACTAGAAAACCCGCCATTTTAACCGGAAAAAACAAAAAAACAAAAAACTCAACGAAAAATAAAGCGAAGCGTAAAAAATGGAAATTATTGAACCAATGAAAAAATAATGAGAATTTAAAAAAAAACCTTTTTCGATTTTTATCCCTACCCCCGTTCCCTGTTCTCCCCCTCCTTGCCCCTAGCCCTCACACCTCTCACTCCCCTCACAAACAAATAATACAAACTAAAGAGATTATGAGTAACCGTTGGGAGCGGGGGGTGGGCGGAAGAAAAACCTGAAAGGGATTCCTGGAGAATTGTATTTATTCCCTTTGTTATTCTCATCCTGTCACTTTTATCCCGGAATTCTTCCTTCTTTCCTCCCCTAATTAATTAACATATTTATTATCTTTACTCTTATCATTTACATAAGTTAAACATTAATTTTCTTCTTATCATTCATTTTTAAACGTCTTAAATCGAAGTAATCGAAATTTTTTTTCCATATATCGAAATAAAATATAATAATAATAATAATAATAGAAATTTTCCGAGGTTAGAACACGATTAGAGATTGACAATCGATTGATAAGAACACATTAATGATAATAATACTATCCTCTTTCAACATTTTTCAACCCCTTACATTATTATAATTATTATTATTGTCGTCGTTATCAATACTGTTTTTTTTTAAGGGGGAGTAAGAGAGAGAGAGAGAGAGTTAGGGGGCGAAGGGGAGGGGATGTTAAAAAGCGAAAAATTGCAGCGATTATAATAATAAAAGCCTAAATATTAATTATTATTATTATTTATAAAAAAAATTGTTAATTGTTTCGCTTTCAACAAAAAAAAAATTACGTTATTTTTAATTAGCTTACTCGTTAATTAATTAATTAATTAATAATAATAAAAAACTTTTTTTTTAGTTTTAAATTCGATTATTTCGATGATTAAAAAAAAAAAAAAATTTTTTTTTTAAATAATTTAAATAATAATAATAATAATGACTTACTTTGTTTCGTCGATGTAAACGGCTTCCAATACTTTTGCGGCATAATTAATATTTTTTTTTAATATTTCTTCGGGTATTTCTCCTCTTTCGAGCAAATGTAAAAGACATCTTAGTCTGAAATCACAAAAAAAATTTATTATTATTATCATTCATTCATTCATTCATTCATTCATTCATTTAATAAAAAAAAAAAATTTGATACATTTACGAAGATAAAACCATTAAATTATAATAATTATTATTAATTTTTATCGTTTAATTATAAATAAATAAAAAATGGCAGCGGTGGCGATGGCGGGGGTGGGGAGGGGAGGGGAAGGGGAATAACAGGTGTTTTTTAAAATCATTCAATAATTTCAATTTCCTCTTTTTAAACAAAAAAAAAATTTTTTTGTCTTAATAATGTAATAACGAGTGTAAAACTAAAATTAAATTAAAAGTACAAATCAGGGCCAAGACAATTAATTTCCATTTAAATGTAATTGAAAAAAGAAAAACTTAATGAACAACGACGACGACGATGATGATAATAATGATAATAGTGGAACAATAAAAAATCATGCAAAATAAAATTTCCCATAAGAGAGAAAGAGAGAGAGAAAAGTGGTTTTAAACTAATTAAAAAGGGTCAAATAAATAAAAAGAAATTAAATGACATTTACCGATCGTTTCCTTTTTTCCTTTTTTTTTGTTAAACTCATTTGATGAAAACGTGATTATATTATTATTATTATTTATTTATTTCCGGTTTTTAGAGAAAATTAAATTGAAGGGAATTCTTTGGGGGGAAAAGAAGTCTTGAAATCGATCCGATTATAATTAAATAATAGTTTTCCATCACATACAAAAAATTGACTATCATATCCAAACACATTCGCCTTCTTCTTCTTTCAATAAAATAAATTATTATTATTATAAATGATAAATTTACCTTAGTGCCGCTTTGTCGCAAGCATCAGGTGTGTCAACGGGTGGTAATTTTTCTGACGTTAAATCAACAGAGCTTAAATTATCATCGTCTCCTGTTGGAGAACTTAAAGATGAATCCGCGCTGCTGCTGCGGTTTGTTGATGATTTTTTAGTGCTACTTCTTCTTACGATAGTCAAAGATCCGGCTTCTATAAGAAAAAAAACAAAAGAAAATTTATTTAAATTTTTCACTCACTCCTTATTACAAACGATCGCTCCGAATCGCCATGATGATGATAATAATAATAATAACAATAATACCACCGTACATATATATTTTTTAATTTACCTTTTACCAATTACCATTTTAGTTTTTTTTTTTTTAAAAATGAGTTTGCGTTTTGCATACGATAATAAATAATTTTCAATTTAATTTTAATGAGTTAGCATAATAATAATAATAATAATAATAATTGAGTTTTGGTTTTAGTTACGGTTAAAGGCATTATTTATAAAGTGACGTGCCAACAAAAGCATGCGCCTAAGTGGTGCTCAAAAAGGAAAAAAAAAGATGCGTAAGGTGATGATGATGTTGATGATGATGATGATGTTAGGATGAGGGTGTGTGTGTGTGTGCGTGTGCGTGTGCATACAAATAAATGATAAAATGGACCACATTTAACGAACTTACTGGCACATTTACCGTTGCGGCCCGGCGAATCGCCGCAGCGATCCAAATTATCCTCGTCTCGAGTCACTTTACTGTCTGGGGGACTCGCAACTGTAAAAATTTAAATCATCCATGTTAGCCTATTAATTATTATAAAAAAAAAAAAAAATTAAGTAGAAATTCGAGAATGAATTATTTTAAATAAACGTCGATTCTTCCACATGATAATAATAATAATAATGATAAAAATAAAAACCGAGCACTGGAAATCATTAAAAAAATTTTTTAAATTTAATCCCTGGAGTTTTGCGTGATTAATTATTCGTTTTTTTTTTTTTTTTTTTTTTTTGCAGGAAGTTGTGTGTGTGTCGGTGTGTGGCACTGTTAAGAACATTGTAAAAAAAAAAAAAAAATGGCCGAAACGCAGGTAAAATATTAAATATTAAGTTTTGAAGAATTCCAGGTCAAAGTCACGTGGGTTGGGCCTTAAAGACAAAAAAAAAAAATTCTTATTTCTATTTATTTAGCCTTTTTTCCCGTTTCAATTCACGTTTCTTAATTTTTCTATTATATTCATTTGTTTAAAAAAGGAAAAACGCGGCGTAAATATTAAACAAACAAACAAACAAACAACCAATCAAAAAAAAAAGGAAAAAAATACGCAAGCGTGAAAAAATTTAAAACAAAAAAAAAAATTTTTTCCCTGTCGCGCAAACTCTAAAAAAAAAAATGTAATTTTCACTTTATTAACTTTTTTTTTTTATATTACATTTAATAACAATAAAACAAACAAACAAACAAACAACAACAACAAAAAAATCAAAAACATTTAAATACGTTTAATAAATGAAAAACAAAAAAAAAAATTTTTTTTTTAAATTCTACAGAATAAAAATCAGGTCGCACACACAGTTTTTTTTTTTATAGAAAATTTCCCACCCCCTCTCCCCGTTTTTTCTTCTCCCCACCTACGATTCCACCCACTCCCTAAGGAGAAGGAGGGGTGGGGGAGGAAAACCTTTCACCCATTTTAAATACCAATTTTTTTTTTTTTTTTTTTTCGGTTCAACTCATTCGACATTTATAAAAACAAAACAAAACCGCAAACTGAAAACTTTTTCGAATTTTGTCATATAAACAAAAAACAAATTATTATTATTATTATTATTATTATTATTATTATTATTATTATTATTATTATTATTATTATTATTATTATTATTATTGTTTTTTCGGTTGGTAACCTTTATTAAATTAATTTTTTTTATATTTTTTTTATAATCCTTTATACGACACTGATTTTTTAAAAAAAAAAAAAAAAAAAAGGAATTTCAATCCTTTCTTTAAAAAGTCTATTAAAAATGAGCTGAACATAAAAAAAAAATTTTTAAGTGTTGTTGTTGTTGTTTGGTTAAAAAAAAAAAATCTTTTCATTGGTTGTTTTTGTTGTTGTTGTTGTTAAATCTTTTTTATAATTTTCCCTTTTTTTTTTTTCATTAAATTTTCGATTAAATTTTAATGATCCCGTAAAAAAAAAAAAAAAAAAAAAATTGTTCAATTTTTGATGCTAAACATAAAAAAAAAAAAATCGTAATAATAATAATAATAATGATAATAATAATAATAATGATAATAATAATAATAATAAGATTTGAGTTCTTTAAAAGGTTTTTTTTTTTTTTAAAAGCATTTTTAGACGGCGGAAAATATAATTTAAATATTTTGTTAAAAAAAAAATAAAAAAGAAAACGTATAAAATTGTTTAAATAAATAAATAAATAATGCATTTTATATAAATAATCCGTAAAAATTCCTTTTTTTTTCCTTTTTTTCCTTTTTTCCTTTTTCCTTTTTTTTTTTAACTGTAAAGAAAAAAATACGAAAAATTCTTTATGGAAAATCGTTTCGTTTCGTTTTTTCTTCTTTTTTTTCCCCCTTAAATTGATATTCATTCGTTCATTCATTCAGTCATTCATTCATTCATTCATTCATTCGGTAAACAAAAAACAAATTAATAAAATTAATTTACTAATAATTTTTAAAATAAAAATGGAAAAAAAATGATTTCCATTTAATTATAATTAAAGAAAAAAAAAATTATTCGCTTTTGTTTTAAATGATTTTTTTTTGTTGCTGTCGTTGTTATTATTATTATTATTATTATTATTATTATTATTATCATCATCATCATTATCATCATCATTAGGATTTTGAAATTAATATAAATGGGGAGAAAAAGGTGTGAGAATGAAGAATTTTTTTTTTTATCGTTAATAATTAATTTTTTTTAACGACGATGAAAATAATCTTGTAGATGTTGAAAATTTTGTTTAAAAAAAAAAAAAAAAGCAAGATGGCGGATTAAAATTTAGGTCAAAATTTTTTTTATTTTATTTTTTATTAAATAATTAACGCAAAATATATTAATTATTATTATTATCATTGTATTTTAAACGAAGAAAAAAAATTAATAAAAAAAAAATACGATGGAAAAAGAAAATCTTATTAAAAAATAAAATCGATACAATCGAATGTATCTAAATGTAAATAACAATTTACACTCATAAGGTAACTATAAAATAATAATAATAATTATAATATTAATAATGATGATGATGATGATGATGATTTTTTTATAAAAAAAAAATTTATTATCAAACGAACGATGATAAGACACATTTAATTTTGTTTTTTATTCAAATGTAAAAAAATATCACATGGGAATGAAACGAGTCGTAGGCGTTCGAGCAAACACAACAACAGCCTTTTGTTTGTTTGTTTGTTTGTTGTCGAAAAAAAAAGAAGTCAAGGAAATCATCAACTTTTAAATTTTTTTAAACCTTTCCTCGCGTTACGTTAAAACAAAAAAAATTTCATATTAAAAAAAAAAAAAATTGTTATTAATGTTAATAATAAAAAATTTATTTATTTATTTATTAACGATTAAAAAAAAATTTATTAATAATAAATAAATAAATAAATAAATAAAAGAGTAAAAAAAAAAAAAAAAAACAAAATTGAATTTTAAATTAATCAAAAAATAAAAAAAATGAAAAAAATTGAGAGAAAAAAAAGATTTTTTATTTTAAAACCTTTTTAAATCAATCGATAATTTATTATTATTATTATTATTACTGTGTTTAATAAATGTTTTCCTTTTTTCCTTTTTTTCTTCCTTCCTTCCTTTTTTTTATAATCATTGTTTTTTTTTAAATTTATGGATAGGTTCATTAAATGAAAATCTCAAACTTAATTACCTTCGTCCCTTAATTTAAATAGGATAAAACAGGGAAAAATGAGAAGGAGAGGTTGGAAAACCTTTCGTGTAAAATTAATGGAAAATTATTTTTTCCTTCTCTCTCTTTCCCTCTCTCTCTCTCTTTCTCTCTCATCATTTTTTATTAAATTCTGTCATCCATCATCATAATCGTAATTATTTCGTATGTTGTTTTCTATTTTTCTTTCGTTTAGTTTTTAAAAATTAAATCTTTAGTTTCCCCCTGCCTCCCCCACCTCCCTCTCCACCTTCCTCCCCCGATTAAAATCGATCGAATTTTTTAATATTATTAATATTCATTTTTTTTATTCCGTCCACGGCTTTGAGGGTCCCGTCAAAGGTCTTAAAATTAAAATTAAAAAAAAAAAATTTGTTGCTGCTGTTGCTGTTGTTGCTGTTGTTTGTTTACGTTACATCAGAAAAGTTTAATTAACGTTTTTTTTTTTTTTTCGGTATTGGTTTCGACTAATAAAACTTTTCATATTTTGTTCCGTGACAGTCGTACGAGATGAAATGCGTTTTGTTTTTAATAATAATAATAATAAAGTTTTTTGTTTTTGGTTTTTTTTTTTTAATGAAAGAAAATTCTACCACTTTCGTTTCTTTTCCATTTTCCATTTTTTTTTTTTTTTGTAATATTTTAATATAAGATGAAAATAATTTTAAATGTCAAATCGTATAATAATACAACGAAGAGAGGGGTGGGTGGGAGAGGGGGGGGAAATTTTGTTTTTTTTAATATACAAGCGAATTCCGTTACGTCATCGACAGCCATTGAAAAAATTTCACGTCATTCATATTAACAACAATAATGTGAAACGTTAAAAAAAAAAAAAAAGATTCAATAAAAGTAAAAGTTATTGAAATTTTTTTTTTCTATAGAAAAAGATGTAGAATAAATCGATAATAATAATAATAACAATATATTTTATAGTGAAATATATATACATAGATTAATAACTTATAAGATTGATAAAATAAATAAATAAATTATGTATTTATGTACGTACTCGTGCGTGTGAATTTAAAATTTTATTTTTTTCCCGAACTGAGTTATGGATTTTTATGTAGGGAGAATGGGGAGATGAGGTGGGAAACGAGGGGAAGAGGGGTGCAGGAGGGGGGAAAAGGAAAAACAAAAATTTTATGAAAAGGTCGATTAAAAAACCAAATTTCAAAACGAGAGTTGAGTCAAAAAAAAAAAATTATTATTTTTTTTTTTTTTTAAAAAAAAAGGACAATTAAAAAACTAGTTTCCTTTGAACCGAATAAAAATATCCCAAAGGAAAAAATTATAATAATAATGATAATGATAAAAATTAAAAAAGTTTTGATTTTTTTTTTTGACACGAAGTTTATTTTATTTAAGAATTAATTAAAAAATTTCTTAAGAGAAAGAAAAATTTTCTTTTCTTTTTTTTTTTTGTAATTAAAAAAATTAATAAATTATTTATTTATTTATTTATTCAATAATAATAATGATGATTATTATTCGTATTGTTGTCGTCATTATTTAAAACTTGATGTTTCGTACGATTCAAAAAAAAAAAAAGAATATGTTTGATAAGTGATAAGATGTGTTGATGATTAATATATAATTCTATTGGGAATAACGTTAGTCGTTAATCATTTTGTTATTATCATTAATATAACGAAGTTTTCATTGGACGATATCAATGAAAAAAAAAATCGATTTTCCGAAAAAACAAAAATGGCGAATCAACAATTTTTTTTTTCACAAATTCGTAAAGAACAAAATCAAACAATGAAATTAAAATTTTTATTTGCTTTTAATTAAAAAAAAAGAAAAATTTGAGATCATTAGAGTAATCGTGTGATGCCATTTTTAATTTTTTAATAAATTTTTTAAATATGCGAAAAACAAAAATGTCAGCAACCGTTAAATTAAAAAAATAAATAAATATACGTGCGTGAGTGAGTGCGTG